TCTTTCACTTGTCCATGTATTTTTTTTTTATTTAAATAAATGTAAAACTAAATTCATCAAGACTAAAATAGTATCATGTGTCCTTGTCAACTTAAAAAAAATTTAAAGACACAAGTGTTTGAATCAATCAATATGGTAAATGAAGAAGGAACCAGCCCTTCATCGAAGTTTTGAAATCATTCCACAGCAAGTTCAAGGATAGTCAGATTTCTGCTATAAAAGTACACCATAACAAGATTTTTTTCATGTCATGAATATTGAATGATATTCAACTTTCATTATCCAGATGAGTAGTTCCGTATGTTTGCAATTAATTATCACTGCATATCATACCTTTATATAGATTTCAATAACAAGATGCTGTACGTTTCTTTACTACAAAGAGTAAAAACAACACAAAGTCTTTAAAAAATGTTCATTGATAAAACAACATGAAACAGTCTTTTTCTGACATCATAGTCTTTCTTGACATGAGTTTTAGGATAAAAAAATAAAAAGAATAAACAAATCATGATGAAAACAACATGGATCACAGTCTTTTTTTGACATCACAGTCTTTCTTGACATAAGGATCAGGGTGAAAAATAAAAATAAAGCAATAAACAATTATGATAAACTATCAAGTCACACTATTAATATGCTCTCTTTAAATTATCAATACCATCATGCATCTATGACTTCTTAAAATATGTCACTTTGGTAAATTTTAAAACATCTTTTTTTAAAATCCAACCTTGTACATATTCATAAAAAATATAAGATTTAAATCTTTCCCATCTAAATACAACATAAGTTGTTTTTTTAACAGAATTAAAAAAGAAATACAGACATGTATTCACATTTTCACATTCTTGTTCCTCACCAAGAATGTAAATATTTGCATTATGTTATCATTCAAGTCTATTTAATTTCCACAAATGGGGACACAACCACAAAAAGTACAAAAGATAGCAACATCCAGCATAGATGTTGGGATAAAAAAACTATTGAATTATCACAACATGAAAATTGAAAAACATATAACATTTAATCAGTCTTGTTCGTCAGCAAGATTGTCAATCTTAAATTTATGTACTCATTTACTTTGATATAAAGGAAATTCAAAAATGTGAATAATCTACTATAAAAAAAATACTGCAAACAAGTCACAAATCTAAATGTTTTTTCTAATTCTGAGAGAAAAGTATTTTTACAATTTTTTTTTTCATTTCTCTCATTCTCGATCTTGTTACCATCCCATGCCTTGGAGTAGAAGGGTAGGTATTCAGCTCAATATCCTCAGTCTGAGTGTTAGGTGCATTAAGTTCGATAGGTAAAAACTCGTTCAAAGCCGATGCAGCCGGTGCTGTATCTGGCACTAATATGTCAAACACAGTGTCCACTGAGGAGGTTGATGATGTTGAAAAAAAGAGATGGTGTATGAGGTGACGGTGAAGGAGAACTGGAAAGGTAACATGAGACTGTGGATGGTGATGGTGTAAAAAGAGGATTGTGATGTGCATCTGATAATGGAAGCAGGGATTGATGAACACGGACAGCACACTTTCGTTTACGAATGATAATGATAATGATGATCAACAGGAAGATGTGAGGTGCAACAATGACTAAAAGAGAAAAAAAATAATGATTAGTTTCTCTCATTTTTTTTGGAGGTCTAAAGATATATTTCCAATATTCATGTAGTCATGTTCTGAACTCAATTCACTGAAACTTGAATCAAATTCATCTAAATTCTCCAATGATTTCTCATAGACACTATCTTCTATTCCTTCTTCTTAACAAAAAAATTATCAAAAGAACTAAATGGGCAATATAAATGACAAATATTTTTTCCAAACTTTGTTTGGAAAATGAATTTTTATTAATTGTACCTACAGTGCAGGGAAATTATTTTGTTACAGCATCAATGCTGATTTTTGTGCTTCCTATGCTTGCTGATTTTGATGCTTCCTTTGCTTGCTGATTTTGATGCTAGTTATCCTTATCCTGATCCTGGTTTGATCCTTATCCTGATGCTGGTTTGACACTAGGTCAATGCTAGTAATGCTACCGGAAGTAGGATTATCCTGTCGGAAGTGGATAATTCAAAAACAGCATCAATATTTTAAGCCATTAAAAATAATTTTTGGGGTAATTTTTATTTGTAATTTGTATTAATTGACTTTCCTTTATCTGTTTTCACTTTGGTCAATGCTAGTTCTATCCTTTGCTTGCTGATGCTGATCCAAGTAATGCTGTTTTTTTAAATGCTAGTTCTATCCTGATCCTACTTATGCTGATCCTGATGCTCGTTTATGTAACAAAATTAGTTCCCTGCACTGTAGAATGAGGGTAGTTGTATCCATCTCAGTGGGAATGCTCGATGTGTGGACGGAGTCTGTAACAGACGGAGTCTGTAACAGACATCTCAGTGGGAATGCTCGATATGTCGACTGGGTCTGTAACAGACATCTCAGTGGGAATGCTCGATGCGTCGACGGGGTCTGTAACAGACATCTCAGTGGGAATGCTCGATGAGTCGACGGGGTCTGTAACAGACATCTCAGTGGGAATGCTCGATGTGCCGACGGAGTCTGTAACAGACATCTCAGTGGGAATGCTCGATGCGTCGACTGGGTCTGTAACAGACATCTCAGTGGGAATGCTCGATGCGTCGACTGGGTCTGTAACAGACATCTCAGTGGGAATGCTCGATGTGTCGACGGAGTCAGTCGAGATGATAGAAGAATCTGTAAAAGTATTAATAAATAAAAACATGTGTCTTGTAACCTGCAGTTATTTCAATAGTTAAAGCAACTCTCTTGAGCAAAATGCTTTCCATACTTGATCTACGTTTTATTAGCTTGTCATGGATTAGTGCAAGGCAACGAGTCAATAATCACTGACGTCTTCATATTTATATTGTAAAAGTTAACATTTTTTTTATTCATTTACTTCACTAAGAGAAAACAGCATTTCCTATACAAACAATGATTAATTTAAATAAAAATCAAACTTACCCAAACAAAATGAAAATGTAGACCCAGTTCTATCCCCAATCACTTTGGTGTTTGGCCAGATAATCACCTGCATCGACGTTGTGGAAATTCAATTTCAATAGGACTGTTGCATGGTTGCTTGTCCTCAAATACATCATTGTTTAAATTTTGCTTCTGTTTTACTGTCCGAGATCTTTTTCTATTTCTCTTTTTTAGGATCGAATTTTTGTGAGAATTTTCTGTATCATAATCATCATGTTCATCTTCACATCGGATGTACAAAGGGTCATCAGATAAAGAGCTGCAAGAACTTATATCATCAAGCGCTAGTATTGAATTCTGAATTTCCAAATCCTTGTTGTTTAGCTCTTCAATGACGAATGAATTTTCAACATCTTGTCCCACATTACTTGTAGCCAGCTCATTAAAAAAGAGAAGATCCTCATTAACTTTACAAGTCTTGTCACAGGACACTGTCCATTTACCACCATCTTCTCTACAAGTCTTGTCACTGGACATTGTCCATTTACCACCATCTTCTCTACAAGTCTTGTCACCAGACACTGTCCGTTTACCACCATATTCTATACGAATCTTGTCACTGGACACCGTCTGTTTACCCCCATCTTCTATACGAATCTTGTCACCGGACACTTTCCGTTTACTAAAATCTTCTCTACCAGTCTTGTCACTGGAAACTGTCCGTTTACCACCATCTTCTTTTCGAGTTTTGTCACTGAAGAATGTCCCTTTACCACCATCTTCTTTCAAAATCTTGTCACCGGACACTGTCCCTTTACAAGCACCTTCTTTACGAGTTTTGTCACTGAAGAATGTCCCTTTACCACCACCTTCTTTCAGAATCTTGTCACCGGACACTGTCCATATACTACCATCTTCTCTACAAGTCTTGATACCGGACACTGTGCGTTTACCACCATCTTCTCTACAAGTCTTTTCACCGGACACTGTCCGTTTACCACCATCTTCTCTACAAGTCATGTCACCAGACATTGTCCGTTTACCACCATCTTCTATACGAATCTTGTCACCGGACACTGTCCGTTTACCACCATCTTCTTTAAAAGTCTTGTCATCGGACACTCTCTGTTCACCACCATCTTCTCTACAAGTCTTGTCACCGGACACTGTCCGTTTACCACCATCTTCTATACGAATCTTGTCACCGGACACTGTCTGTTTACCCCCATCTTCTATACGAATCTTGTCACTGGACACTGTCCGTTTACCACCATCTACTTTACGAGTTTTGTCACTGAAGAATGTCAATTTACCACCATTTTCTTTCAGAATCTTCTCACCGGACACTGTCTGTTTACCCCCATCTTCTGTACAAATCTTGTCAACCGGACACCGTCTGTTTACCCCCATCTTCTATACCAATCTTGTCACCGGACACTGTCCGTTTACCACCATCTTCTCTACAAGTCTTGTCACCGGACACTGTCCGTTTACCACCATCTTCTTTACAAGTCTTGTCATCGGACACTCTCTGTTCACCACCATCTTCTCTACAAGTCTTGTCACTGGACATTGTCCATTTACCACCATCTTCTCTACAAGTCTTGTCACCGGACACTGTCCGTTTACCACCATCTTCTATACGAATCTTGTCACCGGACACCGTCTGTTTACCCCCATCTTCTATACGAATCTTGTCACCGGACACTGTCCGTTAACCATCTTCTTTACGAGTTTTGTCACTGAAGAATGTCCCTTTACCACCATCTTCTTTCAGAATCTTGTCACCGGACACTGTCTGTTTACCCCCATCTTCTATACAAATCTTGTCAACCGGACACCGTATGTTTACCCTCATCTTCTATACCAATCTTGTCACCGGACACTGTCCGTTTACCACCATCTTCTCTATAATCTTGTCACCGGACACTGTCCGTTTACAACCATCTTCTTAACAAGTCTTGTCATCGGACACTGTCCGTTTACCACCATCTTCTATACGAATCTTGTCACCGGACACCGTCTGTTTACCCCCATCTTCTATACGAATCTTGTCACCGGACACTGTTCACCACCATCTTCTCTACAAGTCTTGTCATCGGACACTGTCCATTTACCACCATCTTCTCTACAGGTCTTGTCACCAGACACTGTCCATTTACCACCATATTCTATACGAATCTTGTCACTGGACACCGTCTGTTTACCCCCATCTTCTATACGAATCTTGTCACCGGACACTTTCCGTTTACTAACATCTTCTCTACCAGTCTTGTCACTGGAAACTGTCCGTTTACCACCATCTTCTTTACGAGTTTTGTCACTGAAGAATGTCCCTTTACCACCATCTTCTTTCAGAATCTTGTCACCGGACACTGTCCCTTTACAAGCACCTTCTTTACGAGTTTTGTCACTGAAAAATGTCCCTTTACCACCATCTTCTTTCAGAATCTTGTCACCGGACACTGTCCATATACTACCATCTTCTCTACAAGTCTTGATACCGGACACTGTGCGTTTACCACCATCTTCTCTACAAGTCTTTTCACCGGACACTGTCCGTTTACCACCATCTTCTCTACAAGTCTTGTCACCGGACATTGTCCGTTTACCACCATCTTCTATACGAATCTTGTCACCGGGCACTGTCCGTTTACCACCATCTTCTTTAAAAGTCTTGTCATCGGACACTCTCTGTTCACCACCATCTTCTCTACAAGTCTTGTCACCGGACACTGTCCGTTTACCACCATCTTCTATACGAATCTTGTCACCGGACACTGTCTGTTTACCCCCATCTTCTATACGAATCTTGTCACTGGACACTGTCTGTTTACCACCATTTTCTTTACGAGTTTTGTCACTGAAGAATGTCCCTTTACCACCATTTTCTTTCAGAATCTTGTCACCGGACACTGTCTGTTTACCCCCATCTTCTATACAAATCTTGTCACCGGACACCGTCTGTTTACCCCCATCTTCTATACCAATCTTGTCACCGGACACTGTCCGTTTACCACCATCTTCTTTACAAGTCTTGTCATCGGACACTCTCTGTTCACCACCATCTTCTCTACAAGTCTTGTCACTGGACATTGTTCATTTACCACCATCTTCTCTACAAGTTTTGTCACCGGACACTGTCCGTTTACCACCATCTTCTATACGAATCTTGTCACTGGACACCGTCTGTTTACCCCCATCTTCTATACGAATCTTGTCACCGGACACTGTCTGTTTACTACCATCTTCTCTACAAGTCTTGTCACTGGACACTGTCCGTTTACCACCATCTTCTTTACGAGTTTTGTCACTGAAGAATGTCCCTTTACCACCATCTTCTTTACGAGTTTTGTCACTGAAGAATGTCCCTTTACCACCATCTTCTTTCAGAATCTTGTCACCGGACACTGTCCATTTACTACCATCTTCTCTACAAGTCTTGTCACTGGACACTGTCCGTTTACCACCATCTTCTTTACAAGTCTTGTCACCAGACACTCTCTGTTCACCACCATCTTCTCTACAATTCTTGTCACCGGACACTGTGCGTTTATCACCATCTTCTCTACAAGTCTTGTCACCGGACACTGTCCGTTTACCACCATCTTCTATACGAATCTTGTCACCGGACACTGTCCGTTTACCACCATCTTCTCTACACGTCTTGTCACCGGACACTGTCCGTTTACCACCATCTTCTTTACAAGTCTTGTCATCGGACACTCTCTGTTCACCACCATATCCTCTACAAGACACACTGTCCGTTTACCCCCATCTTCTATACGAATCTTGTCACTGGACATTGTCTGTTTACTACCATCTTCTCTACAAGTCTTGTCACTGGACACTGTCCGTTAACCACCATCTTCTTCACGAGTTTTGTCACTGAAGAATGTCCCTTTACCACCACCTTCTTTACGAGTTTTGTAACTGAAGAATGTCCCTTTACCACCATCTTCTTTCAGAATCTTGTCACCGGACACTGTCCCTTTACCACCACCTTCTTTACAAGTTTTGTCACTGAAGAATGTCCCTTTACCACCATCTTCTTTCAGAATCTTGTCACCGGACACTGTCCGTTTACTACCATCTTCTCTACAACTCTGTCACTGGACACTGTCCGTTTACCACCATCTTCTTTACAAGTCTTGTCACCAGACACTCTCTGTTCACCACCATCTTCTCTACAAGTCTTGTCAACGGACACTGTGCGTATATCACCATCTTCTCTACAAGTCTTTTCACCGGACACTGTCCGTTTACCACCATCTTCTATACCAATCTTGTCACCGGACACCGTCTGTTTACCACCATCTTCTATACGAATCTTGTCACCGGACCCTGTCCGTTAACCATCTTCCTTACAAGTTTTGTCACTGAAGAATGTCCCTTTACCACCATCTTCTTTCAGAATCTTGTCACCGGACACTGTCTGTTTACCCCCATCTTCTATACAAATCTTGTTACCGGACCGTCTGTTTACCCACATCTTCTATACCAATCTTGTCACCGGACGCTGTCCGTTTACCACCATCTTCTCTACAAGTCTTGTCACCGGACACTGTCTGTTTACCATCATCTTCTTTACAAGTCTTGTCATCGGACACTTTCTGTTCACCACCATCTTCTCTACAAGTCTTGTCACCGGACACTGTGCGTTTACCACCATCTTCTCTACAAGTCTTGTCACCGGACACTGTCCGTTTACCACCATCTTCTATACGAATCTTGTCACCGGACACTGTCTGTTTACCCCCATCTTCTATACGAATCTTGTCACCGGACACTGTCCGTTTACTACCATCTTCTCTACAAGTCTTGTCACCGGACACTGTCCGTTTACCACCATCTTCTTTACAAGTCTTGTCACCGGACACTCTCTGCTCACCATCATCTTCTCTACAATTCTTGTCACCGGACACTGTCCGTTTACTACCATCTTCTCTACAAGTGTTGTCACCGGACAGTGTCCGTTTACCACCATCTTCTCTACACGTCTTTTCACCGGACACTGTCCGTTTACCACCACCTTCTATACGAATCTTGTCACCGGACACCGTCTGTTTACCCCCATCTTCTATACGAATCTTGTCACCGGACACTGTCCGTTTACCACCATCTTCTATACGAATCTTGTCACCGGACACTGTCCGTTTACAACCATCTTCTCTACAAGTGTTGTCACCGGACAGTGTCCGTTTACCACCATCTTCTCTACACGTCTTTTCACCGGACACTGTCCGTTTACCACCACCTTCTATACGAATCTTGTCACCGGACACTGTCTGTTTACCCCCATCTTCTATACGAATCTTGTCACCGGACACTGTCCCTTTACCACCATCTTCTTTACGAGTTTTGTCACTGAAGAATGTCCCTTTACCACCATCTTCTTTCAGAATCTTGTCACCGGACACTGTCCGTTTACTACCATCTTCTCTACATGTCTTGTCACCGGACACTGTCTGTTTACCATCATCTTCTTTACAAGTCTTGTCATCGGACACTCTCTGTTCACCACCATCTTCTCTACAAGTCTTGTCACTGGACACTGTGCGTTTACCACCATCTTCTCTACAAGTCTTTTCAGCGGACACTGTCCGTTTACCACCATCTTCTCTACATGTCTTAACACCGGACACTGTCTGTTTACCCCCATCTTCTATACGAATCTTGTCACCGGACACTGTCCGTTTACTACCATCTTCTCTACATGTCTTGTCACCGGACACTGTCCGTTCACCACCATCTTCTATACAAGTCTTGTCACCGGACACTGTCCGTTTACCACCATCTTCTTTCTGAATCTTGTCACCGGACACTCTCTGTTCACCACCATCTTCTATACGAATCTTGTCACCGGACATTGTCGGTTTACCACCATCTTCTCTACAAGTCTTGTCACCGGACACTGTCCGTTTACCACCATCTTCTTTACAAGTCTTGTCACCGGACACTGTCTGCTCACCACCATTTTCTCTACACGTCTTGTCACCGGACACTGTCGGTTTACCACCATCTTCTCTACAAGTCTTTTCACCGGACACTGTCTGTTTATCCCCATAGTTGTAAATGGTTGAGATAAAATCTTTGCTTTAGTAATGCATTACAAAATATTAACTGATTAAGAGTTATCGATTGAAGAATTTTTGGCCCCTTATTTGAGTACCCAGCCCCTTTTTCTTGATTTCATCTAAAAGCTCTTATGATTTTGAACACTTTTTGTTCAACAACTATTCAGAGATTCTTTTTCGTTTTCGAGTTATTTGCAAAAGAAATATTTAGGGGCCAACCCTTCAACTCCTTAATGGGGACGTTTAGCGAAAAATGAAAGGTTGCATATCGTTCAGAACATTATTTTGAACATCTTTTGTTCAATATTACTCATCAAAATATTTCCCACTCTCGAGATATAAAGCGTCGAAGATTTAGCATTCTGGCCCCGTGTGGCCCCTAATTATGTAGCATATGACATAAAAATCAATATATATAGTTGGAGATTGTTGAGATAAACATTTTTGCTTCAGTTATGTATAACAAAATATTGACTGCTAAAAAATTATTGAATAAAGACTTTTGGCCCCTTTCAGCCCTAAATGTGATGAATCAGCACTTTTTTCTTAATCTGAAAGATCTTGTAGTTCTGCACAAATATTGCTCAGTATGTTTTAACAAAATAATTATACTTTAAAAGATACAATGCAAAATGATTCATAAAATTAGTCATGACTCGTGTCCTAATTTTTGACCCCTACTGAGCTTCCATACTAGGCACTGCCGGAAAATATCCTGACCCAGGCGCAACATGGCAACATGTCTTCTATCATCCCTGAAAAAATCAGTTTTCTAGCTTTAACCGTTTTTGAGTAACATGACAGACAAATAGGTCCTCTCAATTTCGATCAAAGGGCGATAACTTCCGACCGGAAGTGAATTTTCAAAAATTTAATCACCGGTATAAACTCCAGATAGAAACACATAAACTCTTAAAATTGAATGAAATCGATCGAGCCATCTCTGAAAAATCTTCTGCACAAAGAATGACTGCACTTAAGGACGTCATTTGGAACATTTTCGGCAACCCATTTAAGCTTAACATTACAATATATTGCTAAATTAATCTACGATTAATGTGCAAGCATATGCTTTTGACATTTATTTCAATAATTTTTCGTCATACATATTTCAATAATTACATAAAACGCTATTGAAAAGAACATGTTTAACTCATAAATTCCGGAAAATTGAACTGGACCGCTTTCGATTTTAAGGTCGCAGCAAAGGGGCGGAGACATTTAAATCGCATGGAAATGGATCATAAGCGCATGGTTTTCCGTATTTGATTTATATTATATATATATATATATATATATATATATATATATATATATATATATATATATATATATATATATATATATATAAGACCGAGAACAGGGTTTTGTGTTCATTTTGTACAAAAAATAAATGATTTATAACCATGCATATAATTTCATTAATTTGTATCCACGTAAGTAAGTAGAGTAAGTAAGTAAAGAGCAGAAACAAAAAAATTCATAAAAATAAACACAATTGTGATTAATATATGTATGTATTTTGTACGCTTAGGTTGGTAGTGCCTGTTTTGAGAATTATTGGTAGATGAAAATGACACTGAAATACATTTTATTTTCTAAACATAATGGGCTGTTTTCGCATAAATGAAAAATAATTTGCAACCTGTCTATAGGATAATCTGAAATAAGTACAATCAGTAAATCCATATATATGACCTTGCCATTTGATTATTGGCAGAGTTAATTTTCAAAAAAAGTTTTGATCGGTATTCAGAGTACAAAGGACAATGCATTAAAAAAATGAATTTCGGCTTCTACATTATCAAGCACTGCATATTTTTCTCTATCTAACGTTCTTATAAAATTGGAATGCTTAAAATTTCACTGCTCATGTATTTTTTGCTGTCAAGCAGCGAATTAACTAAATCTTAAAATTATTAAGTGTTCGTACCTACAGTGTATTTAAAAAAAATGACATTTTCACTTTATCTTAATCGTATTGAATAATAATTGTGGACTTATTAGTAACGTAAAAATAAAATAAAAAAATAGTTTTTTTAATGATGACTGTGGGCTTCTACCCTGACCTAAAACTGGTTGGGCTCCCGTTTTCAAATTTCTGGATCCGCCACTGCTATATGTACAGCATGGTAATCAGCAAAATAATACCCTTTTCCTTTAAAATACCCCGAACAAAAACACTATAGTAAAAGAAATCAACGTAAACTTTAAAACGCTAATAAAATGTACGCAAAGATCTTCAATATTTTGAAGATGGAAGTACATGTAGATATGAAAAGAATTTTCCAACGACTGACACAATGAAAGCGTGTCGAACACTTGAATGTCACGTGAGAAAAAGTGATTATAATATCAAAGGGGTCACATGGGCTGAAACTCGTAACCTGCTAATTTAGTAGCTATCTCGAGCGAAGTTTGGTTACATTTTTTTAAAAATTAGATATGAGCCGCAACTTGACCAACATTGTCCTTCGGATATGTATAAGTTTTAGTTAAAATACACATTCTGTGCAAATGAGAAAAATGGTCAAGTTGCAGCTCGATGTAAACAATGTCGTTGAAAACTGGTATGCATATGAATAACAATAGAAATGAGACTAAACTGTTAGACCCCTGTTTCAAAAGCTAGTGTCGCTCGGCATTATTTAATACTTTCATGAAATATAATAAACCAAAACCTGTTCTTAAGATATTGTTTAATACCTATAAAACATAAATTTAATGAATTTTGGAATTTTATTTTGCGCAAATCATTGGGATCCAACTCTCATAGCTTAAGTGCAGTCATTCTTTTGTAAAGAAAAAAAAGAATAAATAATAACTAGACCTTATTTTTGTCGTTCAACAAAAACGGAGGGCTTTTCGACCCCTTAAAATAAGTAATCTTAAAAGAAAAATCAATATTTTACAATAAAAAAATCTTACAATACATTCTGGCAAAAGTTCTTTTGAGATCAATATTTGATTGGAAACACAACAATTCTATTTGTACATCAGTGTCTACTCAAAGAGACATAACTCTTTCGTGGTTATTAAACAGATTGGAAAATGTACTGTTTTTCAATCCACAAAAAACTCCTATAAAGGGTCAAAAAGTGACCCCACGGACATTAATTTTTAAGGTGTACTCCTTATGCTTGATGTTATTTCAAAATGAGTTTGAAGTTTGGTTGAGTATTAAACATGTTATGGAGAAAAGGTTGTTTTCTGTAATGATCCCTAAAATCCTTTGTATTTTAGGGATTCTTATTTTCATGACCTTTGCATCTTGAGACAATGCTAGAGTCAGTATTCATATGAAATTTCACAAGAATTGCTTGCCTATCTTTTGAGATAATGGAACAATCATGATTTCAAATTTAACATAAAAATCTCCATAGACAAATTAAAAGTACTTATAAAACCGGAAGTACACCTGATATGCATACAAAAATTTAAATATGGAGAGGATATAAGACTCCAAACAGGTTGACAAAGGTAGATAACTCTTGCACAATTATTTTTGAAAATACTTGAAAATACAATATTTTAGGTCTTTAAAAGTCCTTTAAAGGGTCAAATAGTGACCCCACGGACCATAGGTTTTAAATTACCCTTTTTATGTTTAACTCAAAACATAAATCAGTTTGAAGATCTATGGACAAATAAAAAAGTAATATACAAAAAACTAATTTCTCTACTGACCCCTAAAATCCCTTTTATTTTAGGAAATTTCATTTTCATGACCTAAGCACCGAAAGACAATGCTTAAGTAGTTTTTTATGTGAAATATTATGAGACTTGCTTGCTTCCCTTTGAAAATAATGGACATCGTATGATTTCAAATTTAACATAGTAATCTCCATAGGCAATTTTAAGGTTCTTATAAAACCGGAAGTACTCTACATATCAATACCAAAATTGAAACATAGAGAGCATATTAGACTCCAAATAGTTTAATAAAGGGAGATAACTCTTGCGCAATTATTTTTGAAAATACTTTAAAATACAAAATTTCAGGTCTCTAAAAGTCCTTTAAGGGGTCAAAAAGTGACCCCACGGACCATAATTTTTAAATTGTCCTTCTTATGCTGAACCCAAAACTGAAATCAGTTCGAAGATTGGTTGACAAATAAAAAAGTTACAGGCCAAAAACTGTTTTAAGGATTGACCCCTAAAACTCCCTAATTTTTAGAGATTTGATTTTCAAAAAATTTTCACCTGAAGAAAATTATAAATCAATTATTTCCTGTAATTATTACAATTATTGCTTGCTCCCCTTTTGAGATAATGGAACACAATTGAATTTTTTTCACTATAGAAACTCCCATAGACAATTTTCAAAGACTTATGGAACCGGAAGTTCTGCTTTGATGGACATGAAACTTACATTTCTGCCTTTAATTACTTCAGTTAACAATATAAAATCTTCAAAATAAATTTCCTACATTGTTTTCAAAATTTTAAATTTCAATCCCCCCTTTTCTTAACTTTGGAGCCTAATATTACAAAAATGAACCATAGGTGGAAAACACTAACTTTTTTGTAGATATAACTTTGAGGAATATACTCCTTAATTTTGAACGAAATTGCATGTAAAATAAGGAAAGTATTAGGGTTTAAAGAAATTTTAGTTTCTGACTGATAAATACCGGAAGTGACGTTTACGGAAGTACAAAACCTTACTTACGCGAGACTTTCCGATATGCTGTCTAATGGTAATGTTAAAAATTACATATCTCTAATGATGTTCTTTAAATCCTTGACATAAAAGTGTTAGGTATAATAATAATAAAACAACACGAAAACAATAGGGCTTTTCGCCTGAAAGCGAAAAGCCCTAATAATAAAGGTAAAAAAGAAACCGAAGAATAATAGAAGGGTCTTCCGCTGAAGACGGAAGACCCTAATGAAAATTTACACTGTATTGGATTTTATATTGTTTAACGCTGAGTCGGCATCCATACTACAGGACTTTGAGTCCTTACACCACATTAACAAGAGGCCCATGGGCCACATCGCTCACCTGAGCATTGT